GGAAAGAGAAGGCAGAATGGGGTGGTGGGAAACACAGGTCACAGAGGCTGGGTATACTGCCCTCCAAGGCCCAGAGCCCCCTTATGTCCAGGAACCCTGGACCTGAGGCCTCAGACATTATCCTGGGCGGCCAAGGGCAGCCAGCCTCTTCCAGGCCTCCCAGGCTTCAATCATGCCCGGAAAAGAGAAAAGTGGTTGCCACTGACTTTTCTTCTCAAGATAGCAATGCCCAAAAAAGCTCCTGGGCGTGATTTGGTCCTTGCCCTGTCGCCAAGCAGAATAACGATGAATCCAGAATTTGGAAGTGAGAAAGAGACAGGATACAGGGAAGTCAGGAGACTGGGTTCCCCTTCTGGCTGAGCAACCTTGAACAAGCCACATCGCTTCTCCAAGAGCCCCCCTTTCCTCATCTCTACACTCCCTCCAGTTCCCCAATTGCACGAAAATCTATCATGTCGAGCTGTCCAGGGCCCCATTCCCAGAGGAGGGACCAGGAGCTTCCGGAGGTAGTCTTCCAGCCCAGCTCCCAGCCCCGCACATCTTAGCCAGCCGGAGTGCCCTCCTTCATTGATAAAATCACAGCAGGCTGCCTGAACCTTCATCCTGCCCCGCAGATAGGCTAAAAAAAGCCCTGAGCAGCTGAGCCCGGCTGACTGGGATCTGCCAGAAGATACAGCAAGGAAGAAAGAGGAGAGAGGTGCGGGGAGAGGGTTCGAGGATGGAGGGAGGGTGGAGACAGGGCCGTGCTTCCTTCCTGGGCCCGAGAGGACTCAGTCACAGCTGAGGCTGTGGCCCCACCATCCACTTGGGCCTGCATCACCTGAGCTTCTGCCTCATGCTGGGTGCTGTGCCCCGGGCCGCAGGGATCCATAAGTCTTCAAGTCACTGACCACCCATGATCATGGCAGCTTGCCCCAAACCAGGGCTTTCTGGCCTCTTAATAGAGCTTTGCCTTCCTCTCTTCTCACTCCGGGCCCTCCTCAACCTTAACCCAAGTGGGTTTTCCCTCAAAAACCGGGGTATTTTTGTAGGCCCCCTCCCCTGGAAAGTTCTTTCTACCAGGTTCCAAAGGAGGCTCAAAAAGAAAGACACACGATCCCACTTTCCTGGAGTTTCCAACTCCAGGAAATAAAACCTCCATGGAGACGAAATGATGCCAGAATCAAGTTAGGATCCTCACAACAACCATGTGGAGGAGATAGTATTCATCTCCATTTCACAGATGAGAAAACTGAGTCTTAGGGAGAATGAAGTGTATTTAACAAGCCCAAGGCTCATTTGGCCCCAAAGCCCAGACTATTTCTAGTCCACTGTTAACACCTGTTAAGGTCAAGTCTCTCAGAAGAGTTGGCAAAATCAGACACTTGCTCCTTATTAGAAAGGCAGAATCCCAGGCTCCACCCCAGCCTACTAAATCATCTGAACAAGATCCCCGAGTTCATGTGCGTGTTAAAATATGAGAAGCACCGATTTCAAATGAAAGAATCACCTGGAAAGTTTGGAAAAACAGATTCCTGGGCCCCAGCCCCTGAGATTCTGGTTCAGTGGGTCTCAGATGGGGTCCGAGAATTTGCAGGTGATGCTAACTGCACCTTGAAACCACTGCTCTGGCCAATCCCACAGCAGTGAGATTGAGACCCACTCAGCTAAGCTGGATCGTGTTCCTTCCCCACAGGTGTGCCTGTGCCAGGATGAGGTCACGGACGATTACATCGGAGACAACACCACAGTGGACTACACGCTGTACGAGTCCGTGTGCTTCAAGAAGGACGTGCGGAACTTTAAAGCCTGGTTCCTCCCGGTCATGTACTCCATCATTTGCTTCATGGGCCTGCTGGGCAACGGGCTGGTCATGCTGACCTACATCTATTTCAAGAGGCTCAAGACCATGACCGATACCTACCTGCTCAACCTGGCCGTGGCGGACATCCTCTTCCTCCTGACCCTTCCCTTCTGGGCGTACAGCGCGGCCAAGTCCTGGGTCTTCGGGGTCCACGTTTGCAAGCTCATCTTTGGCATCTACAAGATAAGTTTCTTCAGCGGCATGCTCCTGCTTCTATGCATCAGCATCGACCGCTATGTCGCCATCGTCCAGGCCGTCTCGGCCCACCGCCACCGTGCCCGCGTCCTTCTCATCAGCAAGCTCTCCTGCGTGGGCATCTGGCTGCTGGCCGTGGTGCTCTCCACCCCAGAGCTGCTGTACAGCGGCATTCAGAAGAGCAGCAGTGAGCAGGCGCTGCGGTGCTCCCTCATCACCGAGCGCGTGGAGGCCCTGATCACCATCCGGGTGGCTCAGATGGTGGTAGGCTTTCTGATCCCCCTGGTGGCCATGAGCTTCTGCTACCTTCTCATCGTCCGCACCCTGCTCCAGGCACGCAACTTCGAGCGCAACAAGGCCATCAAGGTGATCATTGCCGTGGTCGTGGTCTTCGTAGCCTTCCAGCTGCCCTACAACGGGGTGGTCCTGGCCCAGACGGTGGCCAACTTCAACATCACCGGCGGCACCAGCTGCGAACTCAGCAAGCAGCTCAACATCGCCTACGATGTCACCTACAGCCTGGCCTGCATCCGCTGCTGCGTCAACCCTTTCTTGTACGCCTTCATCGGCGTCAAGTTCCGCAGCGACCTCTTCAAGCTCTTCAAGGACCTAGGCTGCCTCAGCCAGGAGCGGCTCCGGCAGTGGTCCGCCTGCCGGCACGCCCGACGCTCCTCCATGAGCGTGGAGGCTGAGACCACCACCACCTTCTCCCCGTAGGAGGCTCCTCTGCCTGGACCAGAGGGACCTCTCCCAGGGCCCCTCAGACTGGGGACAGATGACCTAACAGCTGCTGAGGGAAAGGCCGTTCTGGCCATTGAGCTTTATCTCGTGGTGAAAACCCAAAGCCACAGAAGACAGATGAAGCCCAAACCTCACCCAAGGTTGCAAAGAGATGTGGTTGATAAGCTATCCCAGATCCTGCAACACTCCAAAACCAAGGCCGTTGTCCCCCAAACCCCAAACGAGAGGTGAAAGTCAAGAAACGGTTCACCCCTCCTGGAGTGAAAGGGCAGGCATTGGTGAGATCTAGGGTGGTGGAAGGGGCCTGGCCATTGTTCCCATCAATCTTCTAGAAAGAAGTCCTCCCTGAGACTCAGGGTGAGGGCTTCCAGAAAGCAAGGCTTTGTCCCCAAGACCAGAGACAGTGGGGCAACTTCTCACCTGTGCAGGGGAAGGGGGATGCCAGTGGGTCAAACTAACGCTCTGAATCCCTCCCTCCATCTCTCTTTTCTCCTGTCATCTGAGCCAGCAAGAAACGGCAGCCTCCATGGCCCCTCACCAGCCACCTTTCCTCAGGCTCTCCACGCTGAAGGGGTGTGGTGTTTCCCGCAGGCCAGGCCTGGCCACAGCCATTTTCCCAGACAGGGCGCTGGGGCAGGGATGACGCGTGGCTGGCCCTTCTCAGGTCTCAGCTCTGCTAGGAAAGGGGGAGAAGGCAGGGAGAAAGTTTAGGGGCCAGGGGTGGGGACGACGCTGGCTGCCACCAGCCAATGAGCTCCTTCTTTGTTCTTTGCCACGGGGACAAAAATCTCTCCTCCTGTTCTGCTTTCAATTCATTAAGAGAGCACATTTTACTCATACACAAATAAAAGTTTTCCCTTGAGGAAACAACAGCTTGAAAAGAAAGGGAAAAAAATTCTTGGTAAATGGCAAACGAGTGTGTTCTTGTTTTGCAAACCCCACGCCCCACCTGACCACCCCCCCATCCCTTTCCTCCCTCAGGCTTCATTGCTCAGAGATGCTCAGAGCCACGAGGTCTGCTGAGCTATGCTCTGAGCCCTTCCAATGACACAGGCCCACGAGGCTGAACAAGGCAGGAGGGGCAGAAGGGCAGGGTGTCCAGCTTGCAAACACCCTTCTGGAGCTCACAGGACAGGACCCAAGCCTGTGAGGTCAGCAGTGACCCAGAGACACGGTCTGAGCTGAGCTTTAGAAAGAACCAAGTTGTCTCTTTAACCTCTATGGCTGGGAGCTCTCCCTGACCCTTAGCAGCATTTACACACTGTCCTGTTCATCTGTCCCAACTCAGTCTGGAACTGGAGCCCCTGACCCTTGGTCAGTCCCCCTGGGCTCCCAAAACTGGTGTTTAGAGGGAGGGGCTCTCCCTGACACCCATCTACCATGGCATCCTGGATCCAGGGGGCTTGGGATGGGACCTGTGTGATAGGCTGCACCCTTTGCTGGATGCTTAAGAGCCAGGTCTGCCCTTGACCCTCCCTGGCCACTATTGCAGCAATGGCCTTCTGTGGTGTGGACACCCATCCTGGAGGGGCATGGATGGAGGAACAGCCACTGTCCCCACCACAGGCCCAGGATCCATGTCACTGGGTGCCCTGATGCCTGCCCAATCCCTGACTTGTCCAAGCCAGAGAGGTTAGTCCAACCTGTGATGTAAGAAGAGGTTTCTGAAGGGCCCAGCACTGCAATAGCTCAGGGTCTGGAGGTGGGAGGGAGCTGAGACACTCATGAAAAGGTGATTGCATCCATTTTCTGAAGTGAAAAGAGCCTCACTGAACATGGAGCCCGCCTGAAAATGAAGCCCATTCTCTCATCTCATAAGCACGTTGCATTACCCTCCTCCACAGGGTGCACTGGGCTCAAGCAGGAAACCAGCGTCCTGAGAAGGATGAGGCTGGCACGTGGGGCAACGGCACCTGCAGCCACTTTAATATTAATAGGTTCTGCTGCTCATGGGCTGTGCACGAGCCGTGGGGCGCGAGGGGTGACCCCAGCATGCCTGGGGCCCTGAGGGGAATGTGCCCGGTGTGTATGGGTATGGGGGCCGCTGGTATGCACCTCCTAATGAGCTTACAGATGGGAAGGCGATCCTTCACTGTTCCTGAAGGGAGGAATGTAACAGAGCAGTCATGAACAGGACGCCAGGCCAACCACACAAACATGCCACCTCAGCTTCAAATACATTTTTTTATAATAACTGGACACCTCCAAGTATTTACAAAACCCCCAGCAATGTTCATTCCCCAAAGTGCTGTGTCTCAGAAGCTCTGACCTTGGCTCACTGCTGGCCTGGTCCCTGCTCCCTTGCCCAGTGCTGTCACGTGCCTACCCTGAGCTTGGGGGGAGCCCTGGGAAGAAGGAAGAGGCTCACTGAGGAGCCCCCAGGGCCTCTCTCTCTCTCTCTCTCATCTGCCTCATACAACTGGCCCACCTTCCCGGGTTCATGGCCCCGTGGCCCCTCCGAATTTCCCCTTCTTTCCATCACCAGCCCCAAATCCCCTCTTCCTCCTCAGGCTATAACCTAAGGCTACAAATCTGCCCTTGTAGCCAAAAGGCCCACATCTCTCGAATCATGGACTAGTGGAGCTGCAAGGAACCTCAAAGATCAGCGGTCCAACCCCCGACTCATTCTCTAGTTGGGGAAACTGAGGTCCAGGGGGAGGAACTGACTTGTCTAAAGAGACATTGCAACATGGGGATAATGGATAAACTTGCTTTGGGGGCCTAAGGATCTGGCAGGAGTGCGGTGGTTGGTCGGGGGAGAGCAGAGGCTCTGGAGCCCGGCCGACTTGGAATCTCATCTCTGCTGCTTCCCAGCTGTGTGATCTTCAGCTGTTGCTCAACTGCTCTGAGTCTCAGATTTCTCAACTGCAAAACGGAGATGATCTGGCAAACATTTAGCACAGTGCCTGGAATGTTGAGTGCAGTGCGAGAAGCACAGATTCTGCAGGCAGATTGCCTGGTTTGAATCTCAGCTGCACTACCTGGGCTGGTTACTTAGTCTCTCTGTGCCTCGGTTTCCTAATCTGTATAATGGCAATGATCATAATACCTACCTCCTAGGATTGCTGTGAGGGGTAAATGAATTCCTATATGCAAAATGCTTAGAAATCCTTACCAAAGTGTTGTTGGTAATCATTAAGATGTTTAACAAAAGGTAGCCTTAAAAAAGTTGCTAACCACAAGGAAACCAAATTCATTTCCATCCCCATACAATTTTTTTTTATTGGAGTATAATTGCTTTACAATGTTGTGTTAGTTTCTGCTGTACAATGAAGTGAATCAGCTACTATTTGTATACCTATATCCCCTCCCTTTGGACCTCCCTCCCCCCCCCCCCCCCCCACCAATCCCACTCATCTAGGTCATCACAGAGCACTGAGCTGAGCTTCCTGTGTTTTAAGCTGGAGGGCAACTTTTAAATTAGTCTCTGCTTCCCTCCCATTGTACAGGTGAGTCAACTGAGGCTCGGAGAAGGAAATGACTTGCCTGAGGTCTCCCACGAGCTCTAGGCAATGCTAAAACGTGAACCCTGGTTCCCGAGCTTCCATCCAGACCTCTTGTCCCAGCCCTCCCACACTCACTTGCACACATCCACCCTGGCACACACCAGCCTCATCCCAGACCATCCAGCTCTTCTCTGGCAGGCACTGTCCTTGTCCTTGTTCTTCTTAAAGAGAACCTTCCCTCCCCACCTTCAGTAGTTCCCGTCCTTGACATTGGGCCAGGGAGAATGACATGCAAAAGAAATATGGTAGCAGGTCCAAAGGAAACCAGGCAACTGATCTTTTTTAAGAAAGGATCCTCTCTGGGAGTTAGGTTCTCAGTTGCATTTCTGTGTTGAGGGTGAACAGCTGGAGGGAGAAAAACTGGCCTCTGGGGGTGGGGGTTAAGGCCTATGAGATGGGGAGGGAGCAACTCTGAGTGGTGAGCAGAAAGCAGGGGAAGGAGCGGAGGGGTGGGTCCTAAGGATGACGCAGCTGGGGGCCAGACTTGCAGAGTGTTCTCAGTGTGTAGAAAGATGTCCCCACCTACGCGCTCGCACACACACACACACACACACACACACACACAGAACGCGCCCACATTTCCCCGGGGTCTCCCAATCTCAGGCAGGGAGGAAGGGGCTATATTAGTCTTAGAGACAGGGGGGCCTACGGCCTTCTTTGCCAGGAAGGGGGTAGAAATGGCCCAGTTTCCATGGTCTAAGTCTGTAGAAAAACCTCGGGGAGAAAAGGAGGGGGGATCACTCCCTTAACTCAAAAGAGCAACCCTGTCAAGCCCTCCTAGCCCCCATCCCATGGGAGAGGCACTACAGGAAGTAGAAGCCTCATCACACACACACACACACGCACACACACACACACACACACGTGCACGCACACGCGCACACACACACACACGCACACACACGCATGCACAGACACACAAGCCACACATGCACCCCAACCCCACACCATCACCACCACCCTGTCATTTGTCATTTGTCTTGTCTCAGGCCCAGAAAGAGACACAGACAAGGGGTCCGCTGCAGAGAAGAGTCAGAGTCCTCGCTCACCAGCCAGAGCAGCTTTAGACTAAGAATGAATCAAACTGGTCTCATCCAAACTCAGACATGAGGGGATGTGAATTCTCCCTCGAGCTCTTCTGTGTGCATGCGAGCATCTGTGCGTGTATCTCAATTCAGACTTCTCGGTGGCTGTCAGCTCTCTCCCTCCCACATTCACTTTGAAGGTGGATAAAACCTTATTTTTGTCTATTGTTCATCAACCCCAGGGAATTCACTTGCTGGGCTGTTCTATGCGTCACTACACCATGTGGCCTCTGGGTTCTCATCTCTGGGTAAATAAACATCTCCCTTCAGGGCAGGGTGGGGGGTAGGCCTTGCCCTGTGCTGAGCGCCCCATTCCCTCTCGGGCCAGCAGGTTCCAAGGTCAGACAGCAAGAGGGCAAGAGGACAGGTGAGGAAACACATCTGGTCCCAGAGTCCTCCCGAGCCTGGCTCAGAACTTGCTTAGGACAGAAAAGCTGATCATTGTTCTAAGTAAATATCTGACATTGTGAAGTTCAACAGATGCCGCAGATGAAATGCCCCCAAACTCTTTCACAATGTTTACAAAGAGGCCTGGGAACGCGTGCACATTTATCTTGTATGGTTTATGCAAACCTCACTCAGTGCCGAGCAGGAACATGATCACATGCAAAGACTGAAGGGTGCATTCTCCTTCCCCGGCTGGGGGTGGTCGGGGGGTGTGGCCAAAGGCCTGTGGTCGAGCCAGGCACCAAGAGTCACCCACAGTGGCACCACCACTGCCTCCTGCCCATCCTCACTGACAGCTGACTCCCCAGGCACCGCCCCTCTTTCCACCTGCTCTGCTCACCTCCATTTCAGGGATGCTCACCTGCCCATGCAGTGCTGCTGGCAACCTCTGGACTCGGGAGTCCAGGGAAACGGGAGCAGGGAGAAGGAGGCGGCCTGGGCGGTTCACAGACACATCCCTCTGCCTGCACCTCCCAGAGCAAGACCCACCTGGAATCCTCCAATCCCGTCAAGGGCAGAACTCGGATAGCTGTCCAAGAGCTACACCTGCTCCGCCCCCAGCCTCCTTCTTAGTTACCCCACTTGCACCCAGGTCCCCTTACCCCCGAACCTGGGGAGGCCATGGACTACTTTGGAGCTTGTGACTCTGGGAGACTCAGACAGAGCCTGGGTGACAGTGGGTGTAGGAGGGGAGGGTCATGCAAGGGATTGCAGGAAACACAGAGCCTCGGGGTGGAAGAGACCTCGAGGAAGGGGAGGGGGGCCTAACATAGGAGGGGAGACGGGCACACATGTACTGTGTGCCTATGATGTGCCAGGACTGTGCTAGGTATACCGCCTCCTGCTGAA